GTTTCACAAACTTATGAACGAAAAATAAGTAATGATGACGATTATCATAGCAAATATAACTTTGTTTCATCGAAAATCCCACCAAAGAATATGATATGTGAAAATGCTTGATCCTTCATGCAATTTACATCTGCACTGTGATTCAAGGGCACTCGTGGCAATGTTGCATAGTTGTAAACGTGTCGAGATTACACGCTGCACTGTCATGGTTCGACTTCTACCGGAGGTGTTTCAAAGGCCTAGATGATGTCAAAGCTGCCTTCCACTCTGAATGAGAACACCTTTTGGAAAAACAAGAATATGTGAACTTTAAAGAAAGCGTCAGCTTTACTCGTATCATTGTAGGGAAATTCAACTGCCAGTCCTACATAATCTTAAACGAAATAGGATGAATGCATCTCATATAATCTAGGGTTGACATAAATTTCCAGTTCACATGAATCTCTTAAATGCTTAGCAAAGTAATTACTCCTTTTTGCTGTGACACATTCAATACATACAAGTTCATCTGCTTCCTCGAGGTCGTTGTATTCAACCAAGGCGGGTCAACTTGCACACTCACCAATCGCTCTGCTGCCCGATTCCGGCGATTCACCGTCCGGTTGGGGCCATCTCGGCGAAGCCAGCCAATCGGCTGCAGAGCCAGGGAGCCCGGGACCTGCGGCAGAGGATCAACTACCTCGACGACCAGATCCAGCGTGTGCACGACGGAGAGGTTGTTGCGAAAAAAGAAGATGGAGAGCTGAACGCGATCCGTGTTGGTAAGCGGATTGCCCTCGTGATGGTAGGTCACTTCGCCGTCCTTAAAGTTGCACGGAAATTTCTGTTTTCAGAAAGTGGAAAGGCAGATTGAAAAGTGAAGAACAGCTTAAATATCTGAAAAAAGTCTATATTTAGTAGAATGTCACCTCTTTGTGATGAATCATGTACCTCGAAAAGGCCAGCTAGTTAGTACTACGCATATAAGATATTAATAAAGAAGAACCGACCCGAAAATCGCCTCCTTAAACAAAATAAAAGGTATGAAAACCAAGATGGTGTGGCCTTTTGTGTGGTCAGTTTTATTTCGTTGTATAGAAGTTGTTTGACCTTGTTTTCGCAACATGGTCACGATGCCGGCGAAACGTTTGGGAATGTACCACGTCCACAGTTCAACCTTTCAAATGATTTTGCAGACAATGGACTCCTGACTAGGTGCGTTCCTCTAAGTCTTCCTACCAATGTGACTAGGTTGCGAAAACAAGGTCAAACAACCTCTATAAAATAAAAGGTACTTTGACATCACTATGTTCGTTGTTTGCTTGTTGCCACTTTCGCAGCTACGAAGAGCATGATTTTTGCTGGGGCATACCAGATTTTAGGGGTCTCCTTTTACACCAATTTTTTCTATTCTCATGATAGATCAATTAAGAGCCAAGGATAAAGCAGACTCTTCAGTTCGTCGTGGGCACACTTGCATTCGAGTCCACAAGAAATCCGGTGAAACCGGTTGTCCCTATGCAAACCGTAGTCACCCTGGTGATGAGGAACCGATAGTTGAATTCATTTCACAATAATGTGACCTTATGGAGCCATTGGGTTTCACTTTGCATGTCTCTAAAAAGTTAATACCATTTACGTTTGACTGAAGGCTCGATTTCGCCTGGGCCTTATCAGCACACCCGACGGAAGTTAAACCAAAAACGTGTGCGTGACTTAGCGACACATTGCTATTGAGTTACAAGGCCACTTTTGTCAGTGGGTTTTAAGAAAAACTAGTCCTTTCATATATCACTGTGGGGTGGGATTATCGGTGAGGCGAATTTGTACTTGTAGTTGCAATCGATTTCATTACCTGTTTTAATGAGGATACTACTAGTTAAGCTTGAAAAAAATTTAGAATCACTGCAGATCATTTAAATGAGACAGAAATGATAGTTCAACTTCCCGATGCCACTGAATTTCACTTAACTTTATCTTCAAGCTGGGTTCCTCATTCGGTCTGGACGATAGACACAACCTCATCCGGGTTACATCAGCATCCAAAACAGGATTCGGTACCCTGTTGAGGTCAAAACCTTCACCTAGCCTGAATAAGAGGTGATGTTGTTGTACCTTTTCATCCCTCAAGGCATCTCTGCTCCACTAATTGGTGAATTGTTTGGCGAAAATTAATTGTAATCTAATCCAGACGAAATTCGTTTCGTGGCTCGACGCCATCGTTGGTCGATCAAATGATTGTGCTGAAGCATGGAATCGCATGGGCCTCCGCTGGGAAGGTACAGATTAAGCTATGGATGCTGTAAGTTTGTTGTATGGTATAAAACTCAGTTGTCAAGACTCGCTGATACCAGCTGATTGTGGCCAGATCGATGCTAGTTGTTCAGGTTAGCTACAGTCCTACCCTTCTGGAAAGCGCATAGACAGGCTCTTTATTAAGACACCAGCAGGCAAAAACTAGATTTCCTGCAGATTGGATATACCAAAACTCAGATATTAGCGCCCTCTTTCCACTTCTTTCTACAACTCTCGCCTGCCCTACTCCTCTTTCGTGTTCACCCAGAACGCGCCAGGCCTGGCACAGGCCAATCTGCACCCCAAGTTGCGCCCAAAACGGCTCGGATTGTGGTAGATCTTATCTCTACTCGAGTTGAACAGGGCCGGCCGAGCTGGCAGAAGCGCGGGCGGAGAGCATACCGGCCGGGCAATAAGTAGGCCCGAGTGTAGCTGCCAGGGTGAGAGAGCGGCAGATACAGGGAGTAGGCAAAGCCTGGTGGCAACAGGAGGCAGGTGGGTGGCGGTAGGATAAGCAAGGTTGGGCTTTGGTGGGACTGCAGGTTGGCTTGAGCGGCAGGAATGCAGCAGAGCGAGATGGCCAGACCGTCAAGAGTGCGCGACGCAGTTTGGCCTTCCAGAAGAAGCGGAAAGATAAATCAGGGCATGCGAGGCGAAAGCCTATCTCTGTCGGAGGGATGAGACGTCTGTTGTTGATGTCCGATGAAGAACAGAAATGCTGTGCATACAAGTAGTTTAGAATTTTTGTGCCAGAAAGCCGACCCGACAGGGAATGGGGCATTTTGGAAACAGCGATTTCATGCGATCTGAAGCGGAACTTGAATTGGGGTTTTCGCAAGTGGCCAAGATGGTGTAGAGACTGCAGGAGAAATGGCAAGCGATCAGATCTTTGGCTATACAGTGATTCAACCATGCGGACTAAGTTGAGTTTTAGGCGCAAAATGACATGTGTGCTGGATCCAGGACAAGATATGTTTCCCCTGAACACCGATCTCAAGGAGATCTGTGCGGAACGAAGGAACCTGATCCAAGTCAGATTTAGTCGCTTAAGAGGAGGTTGGATTGATCAGCTAAATGACTAAACTTAACATAAACCAAACAATGCTTTTTCCTTGAAGATGTGAAGACCAAGATGTTGTGGCCTCGGATATGGTCGCTGCCCATCGAAAGAGAGGGGTAGGGGTAAATAGTAAGTGCGGTGAGGCCACACTAGGTTTGCCTCAAAAGGCACACATTTGGATGATTGAAATGAGAAGTTGTGATAGGACGGCAGTGGGATAAGAGGGTAAAG